CTCAATATAATATCAGTTAAAACGTTTCTACTAGGTAAAATCATGGGAAATTTAGCTTTCTCATTTAAATTTGAATTGGCAAGTCTGCCTCCTACTCTAATGATGTTGCTCTCATCAAGAAAAACATTAAGTGGAGTTAATTTGCTTTTCATAGGAATAGGCTCACCTGCCAACAATTTGCGCATTTCTTCATAGAACTCCCTTTCATGCAATGAGTGGATCAGCCAGTTCTCAGCATGACTTACCTCCTGTGAAGTAAGGGGTCCTTTTATCTTTGTAATTCTGGTTCTGCAGTTGTGTATGAATCTGTAAAGAAAACTTACAACACGAATTAATTTTACATAGTTGTTTGAAATATCAATAATGTTTTCAAGGAAATTGTTTTTAGTCACTGTCAATGTCAAGGAAATGTCCTCTTTTGGATTTGAGTTCTTTCTCATTTCCGTTAAATACACTCTTTCTGGGATCGCTTCATCTAGTCCTTTGGTCTGGAAGTCAATTTGACGTAGAAACGAGGATCCATTCCACCACTTGGAGTTGGTTGTAAGAGCGTCTACGCTGATTCCTCTCGTAAGTAGATCTGCTGGGTTGTCCTTGCCGGAACAGTGGAACCACGAGTTAGGATCGGTGAGGGATTGGATTTCGCGAACCCGGTTCGCAACAAAGGGTTTCCATCTATGGCTTGGACCTTTGATCCAATGTAAGGTGACCTGAGAGTCCGTCCAGAAAAAGGCTCTGGTTGAACACTTCTGATCTAGGATTTTCTTGACTTCCTTCGCTAAGCGTGCAGCAAGCAGAGCGCCCATCAGTTCCAATCTAGGCAGGGATAACCTTTTCAGAGGTGCAACACGGCTCTTGGATGTTACAAGATCAACGCTGACTCTGTCCTTGTGCTTGACTCTCAAGAGGGCGGCTGCTCCATATGCTTTTTGACTGGCATCAGAAAAGGTATGGATTTGGACTTCACTTGAATCTCCACTGGAATCGAGGATCTTTCGCTGAATCTTTAACTCTGATAAAAATGGAAGTTCTAACCACCATTGTGACCATACTGCATGAATATCTGGCGGTAGCTCGTCATCCCAGGATAACTTCCGTAGCCAAAGTTCTTGTAATAGGCATTTGAGTCTAATCGTGTAGGGTGACAAGAACCCAACTGGATCGTATATTTTCCCAGCTGATTGAAGCACAATTCTTTTTGTGATGGGTTTTGACGTGTCCAATTGCAGAAGTCCTTTAACATCAATTGTAAAATAGTCGTGGACAACATCCCATGGTATCCCTAAAACCTTTGACGAAGGGATTTTGGAACTGTCGTCCGGGTGACGAGGATGTGTCTCAAGGCCTTCCCTTTCCCAAGTTCTCATCAATGTTTGATCATTTGAATTCCATTTGCGTAATTTCATGCTGGCATTCTTCATGATTGTTTCAGCATCCTTTGATACTTTTAAGGCTTGGGAGATGTCATCAGCACCACTGATTACGTCATCAACATAGAGACAAGTGTCAAGCATTTCAGTTGCTGCTGGATATTGCTCACGGTAATTCTCGATGTGATGCTTAATTGTTGCGGAGAGCAAGAAGGGGCTTACGTTGACTCCAAACATCACACGCTTAAATCTATACACTTGAAACTTGTAGGGATCTGTTTGATTTGATCTAATGTCTGGAAACAAAAATCTAACTGCATCTCTGTCCTCGTCACGTAATGAGATTTGCAAGAATGCACGTTCTATATCTGCGGTGATAGCAATCGTGTTCAAGCGAAAAAGAAATTATCAGGTGGAATATGTTTGGGTTTAAATTCTCACCTGACCATATACAGTCATTAAGAGATGGTTGTCCATCTTCATGGGAACTTGCATCGAAAACAATGCGCATTTTTGTAGTTAGGCTTTCTTGGCGAAAGACCGCTTGGTGCGGTAAATAGAATACTGCTCTATCAGTTGGTTTTTCAGTTTCTAGAACCCTTTCAATTATTCCTTGAGATTCATATTCTTTCAAAATTTCGGAATATTGTATGTACAGAGTTGGATCACGAATGAATCTTCTTGTTAAGGATTTTACACGTTTTCTGCTACGGAAAAATTGTCATTTAACTCTTGTGTATGGCCCTTCCAAGGAAACCCAACTTCATAACGACCACTATTGAAACGTACTGAAGATTTAAAATGTTGCATGGCTTGGTCGTCTGGGTCACAACTAGACTCTGCTTTAATTCCTATTGCTTCTAAATCCCAAAATTTTGTTAAATTTCTATCAACCTGATCTTGGATGAAATTGCAAAAATAATAGTTCAAAGGGTTCGTTTTGAATGGAACCTGTTACAATGTAACCAAATACGGAGTCCTGCAATATTATTGAATTGTCATGTAATTTTATTTGTTTACTTTTTAATAATTCATAAAATATTTCACCTCCCAGGAGAATATCAATTCGTTTGGGAATATTAAATTCCGCATCTGCATATCTTATATTTTGAGGCAATTTTATTTTTGTTAAATCCAATGGCTGTGTAGGAACGCAACCAGTAATTTTAGGGACTATGAGAAAGTTAAGTTTTCTTTTAAATGAACTTCCGTTCGAAATTTCAGCGGAAATTCCTTTCCTCACTGAAATGCAAGCTCCATTCAAGCCTACAATAGTTGAATTCATAGAGTATTTTTCCAACCCGAGGAAATTTGACGCTTCAAGCTACAAAGGCATTTCTGGCTCCCTGAATCGAGGATTGCGTTCATTATAAGCCAACCCCCTGTCGCACTCTGAACTTTGACCTTCGCGGTCGAAAGCAAAATAGATTTCTCCCCACTCTCATTGTAAAGACACGTCGCGGCTGGACTCGGGTCATAAATGACCCCTGATGAACTCTGTAGAGAGGGGATATTTCTGTTTATCGCTCGGGGGACACTTGTTTTGCAAAGAAGAGAGTTGTGGTTCGCATTACAAACCCTACATTTCCTGTTCAGTTTCAAACAGTTCTTAATAAGGTGATGGCCTAGACAATTAAAGCATAGGTTTAAGGATCTCACTTTGTTGCTTCTTTCTTCAACAGACATCTCGTGAAACATTTTACACTTAAAAATTGGGTGTGTCTCTGAAGGACATAACGGACAGGTTTTTCCATTGCTTTTCACGACAAATGATCTGAATTTTGGAGAATATTCGTTCTTGTTTTTCAACGAAGAATTTCTTTGTACGTTTTCTAAGGCTTGGCTCCTTTTATTAAAAAGTCTAAAAAATTATTCCACTTAGGCAAATCATTAGAATGTAATTCCATTTCATATTGTTTACGCGATTCATCATCTAGACGTTGAGTTATAACAAAAATTAACATTGATTCACACAAAGCGTTAGGTTCTAATTCTAGTTGTTTTAAGGCTCTAAGATGACTCTGAATTGAATCTATTAAACTTCTGAGATGAAAAGCAGATTCAAATTTTATTTTGTTAGGATTTAAAAGTTCAGCAATATGACTATTTACAATTAATCTTTTATTTTCGTATCTACCTTCTAAAGCTTCAAATAAAGATGAGTAAGAATCGTTTACTGTTTGCAATTGTTTTGCATGGCCTTTCAGGGCAGATTGTAAATAATATAGTTTTTGCGAGTCTGATAAACAAGCGTTATCATGAATTAATGATACAAATTGGGATTTAAATTGCAACCAATCAATATATTGTCCCGAAAATTCCAGTAAATTAATGGATGGCAGTTTCACATTGTAATAAGCAAAATCATTTTTCACAGATAATTCAGAGGTATCCACATTAGAAGATTCAAGTAAGGTATTGAGACTCACCTCTAAATTATCTGCGTCCACTTCCATCGTGTCCAAACTGGCCTCGAAATCCATGAGCTCTTCATCCGAAAGCACCCCGTAGCTTTCGGTCCGAAGTTTGTCTATTTTTGCTTTCACTTCAGAAAGCGATGCGAGTTTAGCTCTCTTTTCAACTTGATTCAATGGTGACTCCACATTTTCCAAGGAGTTTCTAATGCGTGTGATCTGACCGAGCAGATGTGCTTTCCTTCTGTTAAACACGGTGAGTTCTGATAGTTCTTTTGGAGCCATTTTGATTTTTGGCTCGGGCTCGACACCGACCACAAAACTGGGTGAGGTCGATAGCTCTGATTTTAACCACAAATGGTGTGGTTATTCTAGAAATGTCTATAACGGATTATGAGCAGACTTTGAGTTATGTATAACTTGACTGCTCAAGCAAAAGGCGTGGACTGTATACTTTAAAAATTGTTTGTTTATTGAGGACGGTAGGTACGTCCGCTCCGAGGATGCATTACAAGCATACTGACGAAATGTAAACAAGGAGGACTACTAGCGCCCTCTGCACATGCGGGTCGTAACATAAAGAGTTAAACTTATAATGGGTGTGTTTTTTTAAATCGCATTTCGATAACAGTGAAAAAATCAGTTTATCAAATTGTAATTTCGTTTCGATATGTACTGCATTTAAGAATCTTTTTATCGTTATATTAACCTAATTTAATTTCGGAATTTTTGTGAATTTTATCTTCTGATATTCTATTTATGTAAAGAAAAAAAATGGTTGTATCAAATAGCTAAAATTTTCTTCGTAAAGTAAAAATCAATTGAAACGTTAACACATTTATAACAAGTAATATATATATATATATATATATATATATATATATATATATATATATATATATATATATATATATATATATATATATATATATATATATATATATATATATATATATAAAATTTAAGTCGTTCCTACTTAGGTCTACAAAGAAAATTTTTATTTTAGTTACTTTTATTAAAAAGTTAAAATTATAAATATTTATATACATATGTCAGAATCACAATATTAAGTGACAAAACAGAAAGCGATTTTCCTTGCAATTTTCCATTTTCCTTTCAATATAAGGTGTAGGACTATTTTTTTTATTTGTTACTATTTATTCATTCATTAAATTTAATTATTCTAATGAAATAGAATGTGTCAGAAATTAGACCACATCTCAGGTAGGATTCGAACCCACGACCTTTGGATTAGAAGTCCAACGCACACACACACACACACACACACACTATCCGTGGCCGCGGTAGCAGAGTGGTATAGGTATCGGACCGTGGCTTGCCTTGTCACGAGTTCGAGCCCGGTACCGCTAAAGACCTGCCGTGTAGGGTAGCGATGCACGTTAAATCTGTCGAGAACTGAAACGTCCTCCCGTTGGTGTGGTGTGGTAGTTAGGAGAGGGGATGTCAGCTCAGGTGTCGTCCACGTCACTTGACCATGGTTCAAAATTACGTGGTCCGTCGCCAAAAGCCCTCGTGTAGCTGAACAGTGCGACGTTAATATTCAATCAATCAATCAACCAACGCGCTATCCATTGCGCTACAGGGACACAAAGAAACGGGTTTCATTTCTATATATGCCGTTGAGCTATTATTTTTGTTTGTTACTATTTATACATTTTTAAATTTAATTAATGAATTAATATTTGAAAAGATTTGTATTAACATCAAGTGTCATCCACTACAAGTTTAAAAAAATGTATTTGAACTTGAATGGATGAATAGAAAATACTTTATAAACGATTGAAAATTTGAACAATATATATAGTATATATAGAGAGAGTGCACTAATAGTAGGAAAATAAATCATGCATAAAAATAATTTCTGGTTTTTGATTGAATATATTTAAAAAAAAAGAAATCGGAGAAAAAAAGATAATAAATATATTATAACAGTTTTTACAATCGATTATTATTATTTATTTCTCAGATACGAACTGTAGATATGTTTATCGGTAGATTTAAATCTCATAATAGTTTAAAAATCGCAAATACATTTACATGAATTGTTTAATCTGCTGCCACTTTTTATTATTTATTTTTAAAAAAGGAAAACTTATTTATATATTTCATTTTATGACAACTACGCCCTTTAATTGCATCCATTGATAATAGCCTATTATATTGTATACGTTAAATATTATTTATTTCGACCTGTATAATTTATAATCCATCACAGTAAAACTCGTATTGTGATCCATATAAAGAACCAACTGATGACGATATAATAACCCCCAACGAGTTAAATCATTTTCATTTCGTTGACGTGGCGACTATATTTCTTGATGAAGAATTAGCATTTTCCTTATTACCGATATTGAACGGCTTCCACTATGTTTAGCTCCGACGCCAACTACGGCGATATGACCTGGTTCCGATAGATTGATTTTTGTTCTTAGTCGTCCCGCAGGCTCCCTTATGAGGAGGAACCGAAAGGAAATATGCCGGTATTTAATATAAATAAGGTTATGTACGGGGCCCCGAAAACTAGATTATGTTAAACGGTTCTCTATTCCGGAAATGATGCCTCTGGGAAATTATAGCAAGGAAAGCCAATATGTGATCGGAATTTTCGATGGAGGATCTCACGGTCTCTTCCTGCAGTCACGCGTGAATATTGCCACGAATTTTTCGTTAAATTTCCAACATAGACTATGAATAATTGTGGAATCTAATACCATTAACGATTGGCGATTACTAAGTATAACTTTTTTGCTGCTACGTTGCGCTTTGCGTATAAAAAAAAGTTTGATTTTAAAATATAACATTTCTTTAAGCTTTTGATACTTTAAATTAAAGTTAATATAAAAATTAAATATTTTTTCATGAATCGATTGCTTTTTAAGTTAATTCATATGAGAGCAAGAAGTTAAAAAATACTGGAAGTAAAGTGAGAATAAACCAGTTTTTTTACCAATATGAATGTTATCACTATTTTTTGGTTGATGTTCTGTGTTTGTGGCAACTACCGTAGTTCTTAAGGCGTTTACCCCCCTCTCAATTTGGCTTCCTTCTGGTTTTGTATAGTAGAGAAAACGCGCCAACAAATAATTTTGTTGTTAACATAAATGTGTTATTTCAATTAAATTTTAGTTTCAGTAGAGTGGTTGGTGACGCTGACTGCTAATCTTGAAATAATTTCTCTTATACTTACGTATTTCATGTTCGTACCTTTTTCAAACGGTTGAGGATTTTGTGTGAATATATATATATATGCACACACAATTTAAAACATGGTTTAATACTAAGTATTGAGGCCCAGTGACCACATGTCTAGGGCTTAAACCTCGGGCTGGGCAAGGTCTACTCAGCCTTTCATACCTGTACCTTCAGTTGGTCGATAAATGATTACCAAGCTTACTTGGGAACTAAACACTGGGGGTTTTCGTCTCAGACTAACCATCTGGCCGGAACATCTGCTGATGCACCTCAGCGTATATGTTCGCGAAAACTGAGATGGGCACAGTAAACTTTGGCCCTCATGAGATGTTGCGCCACTGAGTTTGTTTTAGTTTGATGCAAAGTCTTACATTGCAATGGGGGCAGAGATAATATCGGCTCTTTAGGATTATCTTTCCATTTTTATTTCTTCTCAAGCAACAAATAGCACATTGCCCTGCCAATCCCTGTTACTTAGCCCTCCATTGATCACGCGTCCAGTGGACATGTTGACGTGCCCACTGCAAACGTTTCCGTCTATGGCCTGACGTGAGCGGGACGCAAATGGCTGATCGCCTCGCATAAAAACCACATTCTTGATGTCTTCGACCAGTTGAAATGATAGCAGCCTTCCGGAGTTAGTAGCGAGGGAAGATCTTGAGTTCAGCCGGATTTAAGGTTCTATTCCTTCATGCGCATAATGACAAATATTGGTCATCGGCACTCGTGGTAGTGCGTCGCCGTGTTTGGCTGAACCTTCTGGATATCGAATTTGTGGTTAGAAATTGTTGCCAAAGAAACTATGATTCACACCAGAACTCACATTCAGCGATCTAGCCCATTCCATCTTACTCTTGTCCTGCCCTCTAGTCTCGCAATAGCTGGTCATCGCAGTTATTCCGTCAAATGATACCTGGAGGTCATTGTTACAATTTTGCTATGCCAGATTTCTAGTCTCTGACATGCATCATTCTCAGCTCCTTTTACTTAACAACACATTCAAGTTTAATTGAGATTTGCTTATTTTTGCGCGAGTTATCGCTATTTTTTGTGATTTTTCTCTTAATTTATGATAACCAGTGTATTTGAGTACCATGGACAAAATACATCTCTTAAAAACACTAGCACTAATAATCTCACTGTAAGAATTAAAAATGTGTGCAAACCAAAGATAGAAAGAAGAAAATATCAGTGCTCATACAGGGGCAAACCGGTTGTGGCTAGCTTTCGGTAGCTCGTACAGTATACGGGCAAGCCCCAGTTAAGGGGTTAATAGAAGAAAACTATTTAGTTTAGGCCTAGTTTTCATGTTAAATGGTGTTTTAGATGAATAAAAAAAGTAAGCATACTTGGAAAATTAAAAAAAAGTTTTTATTTACCTTGATAAGAACCATAACATATTTTATTTTGATTGAGAAAATGCACTATTTAATTCCCTTGTGTTATTTTTTAAATCATTATATTGCTCTACATGTAAAAAGAATCACTCATTTCCTATTAAGATTTATTTTCTAAAAAAATGTTATTTTGTGTTAAAAGAATAATAGAGTAATTTTTTTATATTATAAGTTAAATTTTTATTTTGAGGAAAACAGTATTCTTGAACACATTTTAAAATTTACTTTTAATATATATTACGTCTATATAAATCGCTTTTTTGTGCCAATATAAAACAAATGCTATTATTGTTATACCTTGCAAGAGGCCGCGGTAGACGAGTAGTTATGGACGTGTACTCGTGGTAAGCATTGTCGAATCATGAATTCGAGTCCTGGTGCTATTGGAGATACGCGTATAGAGGGGCTGAAGTCTGTTAAATCTGCCGTGGCGCGAAGTCGTCGCATTGGAGGCGTGGGAAAATTTGGAAAAGGGAGTGTCAGCTCGGGTGTTGACCTTGTCACTTCATCAAAGTTTAATATTACGAGTTCTTTCGGTAATAGCTCTAGTGTAGTTTCACACACAGTGGGTCGTTAATAAAAAATCAAATAAAAATCTTACACCAATTAAGCATTCGAAATATTGATATACCAATCGACATTCTAAAATAAAAATCTTTTCCAACATTTGTGTTTCATTAAAATAGTGGAGCGCTACTTTAGTTATGTAAACATTATTTTGTTCTGTAAAATGATAAATATTGTTTCATTAGTGAAATTTAAATATTACCGTGCTGTATTTTATTCATCATCTATTTTTCAAATATAAGATATTAGTGTAGAGGAAATTAAACCTGATGTATTATACCATGGGTGGGTGTCTAAACCATGATCGTTTGAGGGCCACATTGCAAAAGAAAAAAAAAATGCTGGTTCACACATACAATATTTTTTTAACAAATTGAAATAAAAATTAACTATATGTAGTTTTATTAAACTAAATTAACTTATTTTTATTATAATTTTTTAAAAATTTGAATTAGATATGTATAGGTACATATTTATTTTTAAAATTTGTATAAGTAAAAAAAAAGTCTGTAAAAAATTTATCTTAGATTTGCATTTTTATTTCAAAATAAACGTCAGCGAATCGATTATATATGAAAAATAATGCACACATTTATTTTTTTAATAAAAATGTGCGCCAATATAAAAGTTTTATATTTTGCGTTTGGGCCGCATTTTAAATTCTTTTGGGCCGCACTTTAGACAAGCATGAATTAAACATTACACACATCTCGGTTCACTTCAGAATTTCTAATATTTTGCGATCATTTAAATAAATTAAATAAGCCGAAGTTATGGCACTTTTGTTCGCCATCCACTTATACAGTACCAAAGTTTTTGTGTTAATTGATAAGATACGTTATCATTTTTACATCCACGTGTATAACTGCTTAATCGTAGAAATTTGTTTAAATTCTCCACCAGTGCCTAAAATGAATGAAATAATCTAACAGTGAGTGCTACGCACTTTTTAAACATCATTCTGATAATTTTTCATTGAAAAGATATAACACTTTTAGAAAAAAAGAAGCCAAATTTTTTGTTCCTGATTAAAATCATCTTGATTGACTTTTTTTCCAAGCCTAGTTGAAAAAATCTTTTTTAGAAAAATGCCTTTACATCATAAATGTAATTTGTTTTTTTTACTGTATAATCCTTAAAATAGTTGTCTGGATCCGAAACTAATCAAACACGAATATATATATATATATATATATATATATATATATATATATATATATATATATATATATATATATATATATATACTTAAATTGTAATATACAGGGTGTCCGGGCTTAAAGTATCCAAAAGTTACGGCTTATTATTAAGGAACTACCCATCAGAATGTAATAAACTGTTCATCCGTGGATTGGAAAACCCTCCGAGATTTTTCTGGTCTAGTCTGATCGACCGCATGTACGTGCAGGGCACGACCGTGACCTTTG